CTCTCATGTTTGATATTTAGGATTTTAAATCAGGATGATCACGGCTATGATTACATCAGCACTTTACATTAGGATAGTAGAGATGTAGGAAACTGCTTGTGGAAGTTTTGTAATAACACGACTGTCTGAGTGTCTGTATAATGTGTCAAAAACATACCACATACGTAAGGACAAAGAGAAGCGTTGGGGTGAAATCGCCTCAGTTTTGAACATACTGGGTGAGTGTAGAAAGCTGCTAACATGCAAGCTAACATATGTAAACATCAGTTGCTGAAACGTCAATGACGATCTGCTGCGTGAGATCACGTGAGGCGCTACCTCTGGCATGGTAATCTTATATCTTGTAGTGTGTGATTCAACACGATTTTCAAATCTTGTAGTGCATGTACGTTTAATATTTGAGGGAAGAAAACCTGTGTTGATTCTCGTTGTGTGTGCGCCGCAACAAGACGTCATAATCAGTGAGACTAGTTAACAAATGATAAAACAAACAAATGAAACAAACAAACAAATCAGCATTAAATGAGGCCATATCTAGTGATAGTTTGGTCAAATTTGGCCAAATCAAATTTGCTCTCGGATTTCATCAAAAATATCTTAATTTGTGTTCCAAAGATGAACGGGTTTGGAACGACATGAGGGTGAGTAATTAATGACAGAATTTTCCTTTTTAGGTGAACTATCCCTTTAAGACACGGTTTTAACATAGTGACTATGTTTATGCAACTGGCACCTAAAGCATGTTACACACAAGCAAAATGAAAAAGTCATCTAATCTTCCCATTGTCATATATTGTCATATTTGTATTTATATTTTTAGCAATTATTGTTTTTTCTTAATCCATAAACAAGCATGAAATAAAGTAAATAAATATAAAACAGGAAATAAGATCAATAAAAACAAACAATCCAGCATCAAGAGGAACCTGAGACATTTAGTGACCAGAATATCATGACAATTGGAGATGGACTGTTTTAACCTGTGCTAGTAAACAAACACCTGAAACACCTTAGCAACCACAACACACATAAAAACCCACATTGAACACCTTAGCAACTCCACAGCAATGCCCTGGCCACCACCCAAGACAGCTGAAGCATGTTTCACACAAGTAAAATGAAAAAGTCCTAAGCAAATGTAGTCTAGTCTTCTATTTTTATTTATTTTTGTTTTTTGCCAACAAAAAAAAAAACTGTTTTCCCCTTTTTTTACTCTTTTTAAAAAAAATTAAATAAATAAATTTAGTTTAACTAAATTCAACTAATTTTGTACATTTAAACATGAAATCCAATTTTAAATAAATTATTAGATATATAAATAAACACAAAGTACTCGTTTTTCTCATACAGTAAGTACATATATAAAACAGAGAGTTGGTTCTGGGAAGCACACACACTTATGAATGCCAACTTGAGTGCACTCACTTTCACAGTGTGCTACAAGTCTCGTTCTCACCCATAGGCCTCAGTGATCCCAGAGGGAGAAGGGCAAGCCCTCGGATAATAGCACAGCAAATCAGCAACAACTGCTCTCCTCAATGCAATCTCTCTCAGTCAAATCTCCTAAAAACCCTGTCTCTCATTTGTCTCTTTCATACTTTATAAACACCTCCCCGTGGCACACTCTCACTTTCAGCAACTAAAACTCTCCCTCACTCTCGGTCTCTATTGCTGGATATGTTTCAAATTCTTTGTGGCTCTTCCAGTGAGATGACAGGAAGTTGGCAAACCTTTCTACAGAGGGCTTCTTCGTCTATTCATTCTCCTAGGATTCCCTGAGTTGGCTTACAGCCACTGTTGTGTGCGCGCGTGTATGACTCTTTAAAAACATCCTGTGGCTTGGCTACCATGGATACACTGAGATTTATGGTACAAAAACCACAGCTAAAAATCTCATTAGTGACCAGTCGACCAGTTATCCTGCTTGCGCTCCATCACCACCTTGACTAGACAAAGTCTGTGCCCGAGCAATACAGAAGTCCATAACCACTAATAAGCAAATGCCATATAATAAATAAAAACATACTGTAACTCAAAACCTCTTTCCCAGTCCAAAAAGAACATTTACTGAAACTAAGCTGCAAAAACCGCTCATTCTGAACATCCTCAACATCAGAAAGATGCACTGATTAGCACAATTATGATTGCCCACATTTACGTCAACACCAAAAACTCATCATGGCAAGGCAATACAGAGGAAGCATGACAGATACTATCATTCCTAAACACTAGAAGAACTAATGAAGAGAGTAAAATGTGGCAAGTCAGTCAAATTTTGTGCTGTTTTTGTCTGTGTAGCACCTTCTGCTCTGCAGCTCCTTCTCCAGAGATATTTAGCATTACATCACTCGCTCACCAATGGATCCTCTGCAGTGAATGGGTGCCGTCAGAATGAGAGTTCAAATGGCTGATAAAAACATCACAATAATCCACAAGTGATCCACACGACTCCAGTCCATCAATTAATGTCTTGTGACGTGAAAAGTTGCATGTTTGCAATGAACAAATCCAACATTAAGGAGTCTTAACTTTAAATCATCCCTTCTGACCAAAATATCAGTCCATAATCCCTAATAACGCTTCCTCTATTGAAAATGTCCTTCTCCAGTCACTCTCTCACCCCGAAATCCACCAACATATTCGTTTCGAACGGTTTTGGACTGCTTTTACTTGTAAACAGCCCTTGATTTGAGCATATTTCTCTCCCGATTCAGACAAAACAACTGTTTCACTGGAGGAAGCATGGTTTATGGACTTGTGTTTTGGTTAGAAGCAACATTCTAAAGTTAAAAATCGATGGACTCGAGTCATGAGGATTACTTGTGGATTATTGTGATGTTTTTATCAGCTGTTTGGACTCTCATGCTGACGGCACCCATTCACTGCAGAGGATCCATTGGGGAGCTAGTGATGCAAGTTATCATACATAGAAGTCTTAAAGGCACAGTAGCAAAAAAGGGCTGTTTAGTTCAAAGGATGTCACAAATGAAGGCATGGCCTTGTGGACCAGAGATGAGAATGTGATCAGGCCGTGAGTCACATGACACGGGCAGCAGCTCTGCACATTCACTGTTCAGTATAAGTAACATTCAGAGGCCAACAAGCCACCGTGTTGTTGTGTAACTCTACACCGGCCGTTTGCACACTACTCTAGAAAAGATCAGAGGCCTCGTGACAGCGTCCACACTGATGCTAACCAACCATCACCCTCCCTTACATGACATCAGCACTCGAGTGGCTAACATCATCTCTCTCGCTCTCTTGAAACTATGAATGGTGATGTGTGTGTTTAAGAGGGAGGAATCAAGTGACTCACCTAACACAGACACACACTAGCAGTGAGGTGGCAGTTGGCTTTACGTCTGTGACTCATGTTTACTTCACTTATTGCATGGAATCTGCTCTATTTCCATGCTGCAGTGTTAATATTTACCTAATGATAGAAGCACGTCTACACACCCTCGCAAAAAATCCATGAGCTAAAGACATTGCACAGTTACTCACAGAACTGCAAATACTTCCCTGTTTGAATCTGAGCATTAATTTATTGCACAAAGTTACCAAATCAATAACTAGGGGAAATCAGATAAGCCATAAGCCATAATTTTCCTTAGAAAAATTGCAATGATTTAAGAGTCATTGCAAATAGAAAGAAACATTTGAATCACCAACTTAAAGCTGATCTATATATTCATTTATTACACACAAAAGGGCTGCTTAAATTATACTACTAATAATAAAACAATTCAGGACTTTAGGATAAAGCTCATAAAATAATGATAAACGTTGTAAATAAAACATTACTGGAGTATTGGAGCCATTTTACAAGAATATACCATTTCAGTCTCTACTTCGAAATAGAACATTTTACAAATAACTACAAAGAAATGGCATGTAACATTGAATTGAACATTACATTTTGAAGTGAAAATCATTTCTACATCAAACTTTTTTTCAGTGTTTTAATTTTATATATCCCTAATAAAACAATAAAGCATCTTATTTTGCCTACTAAAACAAAACCTTCTAATTGGTTGTATATTGCAGGGGGGTTTAAACCTACGGCCCTCAGGGGGTCACAAAAGGGTGCTAGAAAAATATCGATGACTGGTTGTAAATCATGGGATTAATCATGATTCTTTTATACTACCGTCAAGCCTAGATAACAACATTCATTAAATTTACACCTCTAACATTACTTTGAAGGTAGGAAAAGATATGCTGTCAATGCTGTGATACTTTCCAAATACTATTTGATCACCTCTTTTAGCTTTAATACAGCGACAATACAAAAGCAATGTTGTTTTAATGTACCAGCAATGTACCATTATACATTCAAATAGACCGTCGTCTTTACAATTTAAAGTGACAGAGACCATTACAAGCTCGTAATAATATCTAGGGGTCCCTGGCATCAAAAGGTTTGAAAACCCCTGCCATAACTGAACTATTTCCTCTATTGCTGTAGATTAGATAGTTGTGTTAAACATCCACAAGTGTGCCCAAGAACATATTTCAGACAAAATCCAACCACTAAAGGCCTATAACAGCATTTCACTTAAATTAATTTGCAATTATACTGGAAACAAAGTTAAATTCTCCATATTTCCCAACTGAGAACAATCATTCAGTGGGGTTGTAAGTCAGCGGACAGCGCCGTGGTGCTGAAATCTCTGGCGCCGCAGCCTCAATGCTCAGGTCAAAACAACATTAGATATTCACATCGATTAAACTGGAATAGCGTGCTATTGTACTACGAGCTGTCATTATGAAGTGTGCACTAGTAAAGGCGATAATACAATCCCAAAGCCAAGAGAATGAAGCGGAAGCCTGATGTCCATATGACTAATAAACACAAATGTGATTCTCACCATTAGACGCACTGAGAATCACCACTAAACCTCCAACACTCGGGCTCTCTATGTCAAATCAAACGAACAGAGATCATTCTCACCAGCCTTCAACCAACAGCTCGAGGCTATGTGATCCGTAAAGCTTACTTCAACATGGACTGCTCCTTCTCCTCCTCTTTCTTCTGCCTGTCCATGACACCGAGGATGATCTTCCTCTCCTCCTCGGTGAGGTGGCTCAGGTCCGGCATCTCCGGCAGGACAGGCCCGCTGCGGGGCACGGCTGGAGCAGACATCTTTACACGCCGATGCTGAAGAAGATCAATAACCAGACTTAATCCATGATGAACGCAAGGTCCATCTGATCAATCACCAGTGGGTTTTGGTAGCTCAGGAATCAAAGCATCATGACCCACTGCAGCATCTCTGATGAACGTTATGATGTTTTAAAACACTAAAAGCGGTGGTTAAGTTATACTACTACTATTGAAATGATAGCAACGGAAGCTCTTAGACTATATTTTACAGCATTAGATCAATCATTCTTTAAGCAATAGAAGAAGGGACAGAGCTGGTCCTTTTAAAGTCAATGCTATTGAAATGAACGTAATCCTGTTTAAAGTTCTCCTCTTCCTCAATACAACAAGAATAAGAATAAAAGATTTAAGCAGCGATGCATTATGAATAAAATAGCAGATCTCAGATGTTACTCCAGATCTCATTGCCTCTTGCCTTTTATTTGGCCATCATCCTGTTCAATCCTGTCTAACCCATCGCTGTCATCGTCCTGGAAAAGTTATTTTGCATCTCATAATAAATGTTTGCTTCCCTTTTGAGTCCCTCTGCACCGGTGCCTCGCTTTTCTCCAGGTTTGGTAATCCTTGAAGATATCTTAAATACACAAAAATGGATGCAGCGACACAGAATCCCAATTGGAAGTGTGGGCGGAGCAAAGCCGCCTGGCCGGGGAGGCGAGTTTACCAATCGCACTATGGCGAAGGCTTAGCGTTTAATATTCATGAGGCAGCGTTTGCTTTCGGAAGGAAACCACTCGACGTCAGAACAGCCTACTTAATATTCAAGAGAACAGCATTCGCCATTGGAACAGAAGAACTAGACGTCAGCATTGCCTAAGAGAGAGAGAGAGAGAGAGAGAAACATTGCCTGAGAGAGAGAGAGAGAGAGAGAGAGAGCAATTGCATAAATTGAAATTCACTGTTTTTCATAAATGAGAGAAATTTATTCACAGTCCACAACAATTATAAAATTGGCCAATTTGATGGAAAATCTGTGATTCAGGAACCAAGCCAGCACCATTGGAAGACAAGAACTAGTCATCAGCATGACCCAATGAATACTGAAAAATCAAGACTTGACCATTGGAAAGTCAGGACACAACGTCAGTATGACCTAATGAATATTCATCTAAACCTTTGCCATAGTAGGACTCGCAATTTCATTGACAGCCAGTCGAAACTCATAGTGAAAAACCGGACTGGAATCTGCATTGGAGCTGGATCAGGCATACATTCTAAAAATAACCCGAGCAATAGGAAGTATAGACCAATAATGCGTCAAATCATTACAATCTTTATGGAATACTAGGCTACTACATCCTTTTTAAGAGATAAGGCTCAATTACATTTTAAGATTTTAAATTAAACAATGTTGCTCATTTCGATTTACAGCAAAATAAAACATTCCCTTCAGCTGAATTCATAGGAATTAATTAATTATGGAGGCGATTTTTGCTTCCTTACGAGATGATACAATTGCTTTTAACCAATGCAAAATGTAGCATGACCTTTATTAATATCATATCAAACATTACTAATTCAATGCTTATTTCATTAGTTGATGCTTCCTCAAATAATAAAACACGAAATCGAGATATTTCACGTAATGACCCGTTCATCAGCATACAATGTTAATGATTAATCAAAAATTATAAAGTGTTACCAAGGTCTTTGTTCAAAGCACCTGTATATTCATTCCTGACCCATGATTTCTCACATCCTTTGGGTTGCAATGACTGTACATGAGCTTTAAAAGGGAGTAGATTGAGATGATAGGATTATGGGCTAAAAAGGTGAAGAGTATGTTATATCTTATTAAAGCATTAAGACTTTTACAGGAAGAGAAAACGGCGCTGGTTTACCTTAGCAAATATTACATACATAACACAAACACTGTAAAACATCAGGCTTGCATTTAAAGCTGTATTTAAGATTATACACTGAACAAAATTATAAACGCTTTTGTTTTTGCCCCCATTTTTCATGAGCTGAACTCAAAGATCTAAGAATTTTCTATGTACACAAAAGGCCTATCTCTCTCAAATATTGTTCACAAATCTGTCTAAATCTGTGTTAGTGAGCACTTCTCCTTTGCCGAGATAATCCATCCGCCTCACAGGTGTGGCATATCAAAATGCTGATTAGACAGCATGATTATTGCACATGTGTGCATTAGGCTGGCCACAATAAAAGGCCACTCTAAAATGTGCAGTTTTACTGTATTGGGGGTCCGGGGGGTCCGAAAACCAGTCAGTATCTGGTGTGACCACCATTTGCCTCATGCAGTGCAACACATCTCCTTCGCATAGAGTTGATTGTGGCCTGTGCAATGTTGGTCCACTCCTCTTCAACGGCTGTGTGAAGTTGCTGGATATTGGCAGGAACTGGAACACGCTGTCGTATACGCCGATCCAGAGCATCCCAAACATGCTCAATGGGTGACATGTCCGGTGAGTATGCTGGCCATGTAAGAACTGGGATGTTTTCAGCTTCCAGGAATTGTGTAGATCCTTGCAACATGGGGCCGTGCATTATCATGCTGCAACATGAGGTGATGGTCGTGGATGAATGGCACAACAATGGGCCTCAGGATCTCGTCACGGTATCTCTGTGCATTCAAAATGTCATCAATAAAATGCACCCGTGTTCGTTGTCCATAACATATGCCTGCCTATTAAAACTGCACATTTTAGAGTGGCCTTTTATTGTGGCCAGCCTAAGGCACACCTGGGTAATAATCATGCTGTCTAATCAGCATCTTGATATGCCACACCTGTGAGGTGGATGGATTATCTCGGCAAAGGAGAAGTGTTCACTAACACAGATTTAGACACATTTGTGAACAATATTTGAGAGAAATAGGCCTTTTGTGTACATAGAAAAAGTCTTAGATCTTTGAGTTCAGCTCATGAAAAATGGGGGCAAAAACAAGTGTTGCGTTTATAATTTTGTTCAGTGTATGAGAGACAACTGACTCGATACTCACCAATCTTACCTTAGCAATTACTGCAGTTCACCATCAGACTTAAAATACAGCCCGCATAACATCAGTAAGATCACCTACAAGTTAACTTTGCTCCAAGGTGCATACAAGTTAATTAATTTACATAGTGACACAGGTAATAGTAGAAGGTGATGGCAACACATTCACATGTGCCATAGTGAATATGTTGTAGAAACCCTTGGAACCAGTCATGTTCACTTACATCAATGTTTCATTATGCATTTCAGTGGTTTTGGAGTGAAGGCTAAATTGAAAACATGACCATTCACAGATAAAGATGATTTTAATGTTCATTTACAACCAATTATAAAGACAACAATTATAGTATGATTTCCAGGATCAGTGCGTGTCCATGTAAAGTTCTTTAGATATGCGTGTAGTAAACAGCAGCAGTAAGCCAACCGTTCTTGTTTACACTCAAAAACCTTATTATGGAAGTACAAGAGAGGAAAAAGGGTGGAATATTTTGAAGCGTGTCCGTGTGTGGAGAAACAGAAACCCATGCACCAAAAGCACCTCTTTAAATCATCTCTTACTCCACAACAGCCACCACATGCTTCTCCTTTTCTGTCAGCAGGGGAACAGACCCCGGCTTGCTGTGCTTGCGGACGTTTTGTTCCCTAAAAACACAAACACAGAAGCACAGACAATCAGAATGCCAATCAAACTCAAACATGGATTCATTTCCTTTTGCTGCCAGTACAAGAGAGCCAAAATGGCACAAGATCCAATGAGATTTAAAGTTGAAATGTGTCATTTTTCCCCCCACGTTTTTTTTAGAGTCGTGTGGATAACATGTGGATTATTGTGATGTATTTATCAGCTGTTTGGACTCTCATTCTGACGGCACCCATTCACTTCAGAGGAGCCATTAGTGAGCAAGTGATGTAATGCTAAATTTCTCCAAAACTGTTCAGCAATTGTTCATTTTTGGGTCAGCTATTCTTTTAACATCTGGTGAAGGTCTGGTGAACTTACCTCCTGCGCCGGGCTTCCTTCATTTCCCGCTGCTCTCTCTTTTGTTTCAGGATGTCTCCAGGCAGGTGGCGGTGACGGGCGATGCGTCTCACCTGTGGATGGTGCTGAAATTTCTCTATCAGCTTCTTGTTGTAGTGTGCGGCAGCTTTTTCTCGGGTGGAGAGCTGTGAACAATGAGACTCGTGTCATTGGTCAAGATTAGGGCAGGTGTATACATTTCGTTAAAATGCACTTCATAAATATAAAAGGTGGCAGCACAGATATGCAACATCTTGAGAAGTCTTTTTAATTTGGCAATCAACATAAAATCACATTTTTCAGTAGAAAAAAACACCGCAAAATGCTCCTCGTCTATCTCTCTATCATAAAATTTCTTCAGCTCCCCGGCTTCAGCACGTCTCACTCCACACCCCTCCATGGGCTTTTATTCTAATTAAAAGCAATGATTTTTTCAAATTCAATTTGTTTAGGGCAATCTAATAGCTGCTGATGCCATCAGAGCGCTCGGGAGGAAAATCGAAAGGCCTGTTAACTCTTATTTATGAATTTCTTGACATTGTTCACATGAAGGGGGAAAAAATGAACATGACTCTGCTGTTTCCATGGAGACATCCCATAATAGAGCTGTTACGTTTGTAGTCCTAAAATTCAGAAGCAAATTAGCACATCAGCCATGGGATGGTTCAGGAATTTCAAATAGAATTTTAGAATAACTTTTTTTTTATTTATTGATTTAAAAACATTAATTGAAGAGACAGTCACACTTTGTTCTACAACATAATTTACACATAATTCAAACCTCAGATGTTAATTTTACACACACTGTTTTCTGCAACATAAGGACTACAACTACCACAAGAATAGACAAATACTTATGCAGCAACTTATTTTCCCTTTTACCGTACTTACTGTTATCATTATCTAAATCTAACTGCAATAAAGCTGAAATGAAAAAGAAAAAAAAAAACTTCAATAAGCTAAGGTACTGAAATTACTAACTGAAATAAAACTAAAATAAAAAAACTACTTCACAAATACTTAATATAAAAATAGCACATAAAATTACGAAAAAATTAAACAAAATGAAAATTTGAAAGCTAACTCACAATTTTAAAAACTATAATAATATATAAATATTATTATACATAAATGTTTTTTTCACATTACAGTAAGAATTACTGTAATTAGTTACTTGTTCTATTTTTCTTATTATCTGTGTTTTTGTTCTGTCACTGTCATTCTGTGGAGCTTCTGTCATGAAAACAAATTCCTCGTATGTGTAAACATACCTGGCAATAAAAACTCATTCTGATTCTGATTCTGATTAAGAATTTAGGGGAGAAATGTACTTTATTGTCATGTAAATAATTTCTCAATGCAATAATTCTAACGGACCTAAAAACAGACTTTATTTTCTTACAAACAAACAAATATATATAATTACACTTATGCATTTGGTAAATGCCTTTATCCTAAGTGCATTCACGGTATACATTTTTTTCAGTTAATGACCTCGGCGATGTTAGCGCTACAGGAATGCTTAAGGAAAAATATAATAATAGTTATAGTAACATACATAGACTGCAAGTAGCAATTATATCTAATTTTCTATAGAAAGTATAACATTATAAAGTGGAC